TGATGTTTGAGTATAATCTCATAGTCCCTCATTATTAAATGAAAGAAGCTCAGAATGGGAAATGGGAAGACACCTTAGAGATTATAATGTGGTCTATGCCACTCATGTCACAGTTGAGGAAGTGGAAGTACACAGAGGTGAAGTGACATGTTCAGTGTCACCAGCCAGTGACTGTTCAAACAAGGATCCCATACTAGGCCCCTGTTGCCAGAGGAGGGACTCTGTTGGCCCCCATCATCCCCTCTCTGCCCCCACCAGCCAGATACACACACACACACACACACACACACACACACACACACACACACACACACACACACACACACACACACACACAGCAGCCTGGGAAACGGCACAGAAATAAGATGTGCTTCTAAACAGTTTCAGGTGAACTTCCAGATATGCGTCTTTATGAGTTGGTGCTGGCGTTAACATCACTTTTCTGTTAGAGCTGAATGAAACACAGCTGCTTTGGTCTTCTTATGAGAAAAAAAGAGAGAGCTAATTCTTGGCTATCAATGATGCTTCTCTGCAGGGATTTTATTAGGGCATGCTACTAGAGGAAGGCAAGAAGGCTGAGTCTGACGGACCCTGCTCCCATTGGCAGTAGCTCACCAAGAAACTAGTTTAGAAGAAGAGACATTTGGAAAAAGTGAACTGGATATTTTCAGCCCTTTAAGAGATTCAGAAATCACCCTTCTAAAATGGCTCCTGAATTGCCCCTTCCTTATTAGCACATTATTGTTGTTCGAGAGCTAGCTACTGAAGAGGTAGAGTTTTGAAAGACTCCAGTGAAGAGGTAAGAGCTCTCACCTTGTCTATGTGGTCATAGCTGCTCACTGCAGCCCTGAAGGCTTTCTCAAAAGATAGGACCCACCTTCAAGGCCTTAGGACTTTGTGAGTGTTGTTCCTTGCTAGCTCAGGACTGCACTCAACCTCCCTGAATCTCCTTTCTCATTTATACAGGAGTTAATAGTCAGTCTACAGAAATTCATTGAACTATTGTGTTAGAGGCTTAAGTCTTAGTGTAGGCAAAGTCCATAAACAAAACCAAAGCACCTAGGAGGTGGTGGTTCAAGCCTGTAATCCTGGCTATGTGAGAATTGGGAATCAAAGGATTTGAGGACAGACTAGGGAAAAAAAAATGGAGGCTTCCAATCAGATAATGGCTGGGCCTGGTGGCAATACAATGGTTGGGCACAGTGGCCTGTGCTTGTTATCTCTGGCAACACAGGGGGAATCACAAGAAGGAAGATGGAAGCCCAGGCCAGCCTGAGCCTACAATGAGAGCCTGCCTCAAAAATCACCAATGCCAGAGGCATGGCTTAAGTGATAGAACATCTGTGTAGCAATGATGAGACCTCTGTCTTTGATCCCCAGTACCAGAATGAAGCAGAATAAGGAGGAAGAAGAGAAGGAGGAGGAGCTGGAGAAGGGGTAGGGGAAGGAGAAGAGGAAGGAGGAAGAGAATGCAGCAAAATTCAGACCTCTGGCCCATGAGGAGCTGGCCTTAATGGCCTCCCAGAACACAGCAGGAGCACTGTGCGAGGGCCAGTGGTGATGTATGCTGTATGGTGTAGGATGGGGGGAATGGGTGAGAAAGGCTCAGTGGCACATGGGTAAGCCTCTCTGAGGCCTAACCTCTCTGAGGGCATCTGCTCTCCTCAGAAGTCAGTTTCCACAGCGCAGGCCTCACACTTCCTTTAAGATGTCCATCAGCTCAGAGCAAGGTCAATTTGAGAGAAAAGCTATTTTCCTTGAAATTAAACTTGGGAATGAAGTACAGCTATTTGGATCTGTAACAGAGGAAGGTCATTTTTTTCCCCTTACTTCATTGATTCCAAGTAGGATAAGTTTGGATTAAAGCTCACAAGAACTCTATCAGAGCAAGATTATGATAATGTAACATTATACAATTAAGCTTAAGTTATGTAGTTTTCCACAGGCTTTCACTTAATATTTTTTCCTTAGAATTTCAAAGGGAGACTCAAACCTTCTAGCCACTGAATCTGTGATTATGTGGTAATGTATCAGTCCTGGGAGTAACTGCAATATTTAAATATTTTATAAGGAGCTCTGATTGTATTTTAAAGGGACAAACAAAATTCAGTAAAAGTTTCACCAAGTGAGCAAGTAGACAAAAGTTGCTCTCCTTTAGTAGAAAAGAAATTATAGACTAGGTTAGGTCCTGTTTAGTGAGCACATAGCCATGTATGCAGGTTCTGTAACCCACTTAAGTCAAGAAAATCCAGCACTAGAGTGTCTGTACACCATTAATTTGATGTTACAGAGGAGAAAACTCAAGCAAACATCCAAGCAAGCTGTCCAATAAATAGTAACTTCACTGTGTTTCTCCACTAAACCAAACAATTCCTGTCTCTGTGCTCCATCCCTTAACCTTTCCTGAAAGGGAGACTCCAAACAGACCCAGGGGATGCCAGAGACTGGACCTTATTGCAAACATGAGGAATTTTAAAGGGATCTCATTTCTCTTCCATGACTACACAAGTGCCATAGGGTAGGTAAGGATGGTTTGTGATTAGGGATGGACTGTTTATATTATGGTCTATTGCTGGCAGCCGTGTATTCTCTCCAGTGTTTTAGGCATGTGGGGGAGGTGTGTTGGTAGAATGAGGAAAGGCTGTGGAGTGCTGGCACCATTTATTTCCCTTTAAACATTACATCTTCATTTCAGTTGTCTATATGTTGCAAGTTCTTCCAGAAAAGATTTCTTATTTCTTTGACTAATTTGAGGGCTTAAACTCAGGACCTGGGCACTGCCACTGAGGTTTTCCTTTTTTTTCTTTTTTGCTCCAGGCAAGTTCTCTACCACTTGAGCCACAGCTCTACTTCTGGCTTTTTGTAATTAGTTGGAGATGAGAGAGTCTCAGGGACTTTCCTGCCTGGGCTAACTTCGAACCAGGATCCTCAGATCTCAGCCTCCTGAGTGGCTAGGATTACAAGCACGAACCACTGGCACCTTCCTTCAGGAAGGAGTTCTTAAGGGTCGCTTCAGCCCTGTGGATTTGGTCTCAAATTCTAAATTAGTGATAGAAGTTATATGAGGTTTTACTTGCATGGAACTAGTCTTCCTTGAGGAACCATAAGACATAATTCTACTTCTCTCCCTGGGTAATCAGCCTATCACCGACATGGTTTCATCCAGAAAGTCAAATTGACTTTCTGTTTCTTTCTGTGGACTGTTTGAGGTCAGGCTGTTGTGGAATCAGAGTTTCCAAGGGAGAAGCAGCTGCTCAGAGAATGGAGTGGTGAGCACAATCAGCATTGGACCAAGTATCTGGAGCACTATGGAAGAAATCCAAGGTTTACCATGTGCCAGAGGGCAGAGAACACTTGTCAGAGGCAGCATAGACTATCTCAGCTGAGGAGCTGAGTTGGAGCTGGTTGGTCACCTCTCCCACTGCAAGCTCAGTGCAGTAGACGGCTCTGAGCCTCTTCACAAAACTGAGAAAGAGAGAAAAAAAGGTGCAGCTCTCTCTGAAGGCACTTGAGCATATGTTCAGTAGTTCCCTAGGGAGGATCTATCGTTACTTTCGGGACAAGGAGGATGGAAAGAAAATTTTATGAACTGGAACTTAAACAAGTGAATGGAAAACACGACCAGATGTTGGTTGGCTAGGCCAGAAAGAAATGGTCTAAATTTCAGATTTGAAACTCATATACAAATAAGTTAGAAATGAACACTAGAGTAACCCTTCTGCCCAAAAAAATGGGTGCTGTTTATTCTCTTAATGCTAAATATGTCTCTAATCTCAGATTCCCTAGGTTAGGTTAGTTCTCATGGTCAGTTCAATGTCTTCAAAAGTCTTTCGAGAGACTCATGGGATTCTTTGAGGATGAAAGACCCAGAATGAACTTTTCCTATGGATTTGCAGACACCTTCTCAGGGTAGAATATTTCTAGTCTTGATGAAATAACTGCTTTCTCCACTGAGTCAGACAAAATTAGCAAGGTTTTCAATGCATCTCCAGCTCTGATGCTTTCCTAGAGATTTCAGGATCAAATGTATTTACTTGAAAACTGTAAGCAAGCCTCATGCTTCCACTCAACCAATTAAATGCTAACAGTGATAATAGGAAAATTGTCACCTATAACCCTCCCCATGTCTTTAATTTTCAAGTCTTTGTTTTGTTGTCAGAGAACAATAAGATAATGGATACAATGTTCCATGTTAAATGCGTTCACAATCTACATAATTTATGTATCTTTGGGAATCTTTGGGTGGGAGGATTTTCTTTTTGAGATTGAATAATTTTTTTTCCCTACTTGGAAATCTGGGACATAAAGGAGTTAACAACAAGACCTGGAGTTGGTGGCTCATGCCTGTAATCTTAGCCACTCAGAAAGCTGAGGTTTGAGGATCCCGAGGTCTGAGCCAGCCAGGGCAGAAAAATCTGTGAGACCCATATCTCCAATTAACCACCAAAAAGCCAGATGTGGAAGTGTACCTCAAATGGTAGAGCACACTAGCCTTGAGCAAAAATGCTCAGGGACAGTGACCAGGCCCTGAGTTCAAGCTCCAGTACTGACACACATACAAAATGTTAACAACAAGTGATGCTTGTTGAGTGTATCACAGAACAATAACTTTTCACTATGATTTTGTGGACATTTAAATGCTGAATTCAGATAGCTCAAAAAGATGAAAAACAGACTTGAAATAATGCCATTTGTCACAGGATTTTTACTTTCATGGAAATAGGATTTATTAAAATTAAATGATGAGCAAAAACACTTTTTGGCTTGGAAGAATCAACTTGGTTGCGGCTACTTGCCTGTTTCTCTTGCTCTGCAAGTATCATCCATCTCCCTGGGCTGGCTGCAGAGCCACCAGGTGTTCAGAATCACAGGGGGACAAAAGAGTTTCTTACTGAATGGAGGGAGAGAAAAATAAATGTATGTAGACAAGGCTTAAACATGTAAAAAGTACAGCCTCACTGAACAGAATCCCCTCTTTTTCCTTTCTACTTATTTCCCAGGAGTAAGTCGGCTACAGGGCTGACTGCAAGGATGTGAAACGTTGGACCTCATCCCTATATCAGAAGCTCAGATGCTCGTCTCATTTTTGCATCATTCCAGACAAGCCGACTTTATATGGGAATAAAATTGAACCTTAAAGGTCGGATGGAAATTCACTGTGACATTCAAATCCAGACAACTTGCTGAAATCCACAGAGCCTTTCCCCCATGGGCCCTGATGGTAGCCTCCAGAAGGTGCGGCCTCAGGTGGTCCCCCTTCTTCTGGGCCAAGAATAAACTTTGGGTCTTGGATTGCGACACCCACAGTGGAGAAGATGGCATGCGAGGGAAAGCGCTCAGCCTCTTGCTCTTGTTTCTTCCTCTTGACCGCCAAGTTCTACTGGATCCTCACCATGATGCAGAGAACTCACAGCCAGGAATATGCCCATTCGATCCGAGTGGATGGGGACATCATTTTGGGGGGTCTCTTCCCTGTCCATGCCAAGGGAGAGAGAGGGGTGCCTTGTGGGGAGCTGAAGAAGGAAAAGGGGATCCACAGATTGGAGGCCATGCTTTATGCCATCGACCAGATTAACAAGGACCCCGATCTCCTCTCCAATATCACTCTGGGTGTCCGGATCCTTGACACGTGTTCCAGAGACACCTACGCTTTGGAGCAGTCGCTAACCTTCGTGCAGGCATTGATAGAGAAAGATGCTTCCGACGTGAAATGTGCGAATGGAGACCCACCCATATTCACCAAGCCCGACAAGATTTCCGGAGTCATAGGTGCTGCAGCAAGCTCCGTGTCCATCATGGTTGCTAATATTTTAAGACTTTTTAAGGTAGGTAAAGACATTGTTTTGTGACCACTGTGAAAGGTTGCACCTGTGAAGTGGTTGCAACTGCAGGTACAGGCGTAAAGAAGAAAGGGTAGTCAGGTGCTGGTGGCTCATGCCTGTAATCTTAGCTCCTCAAGAGGCTGAGATTTGGGGATTTCAGTTCTAAGTCATCCCGGGGAGACAAAGTCAGCAAGACTCTTCATTCCAATTAACCAGCAAAAAACCCTGAAGTGGAGGTGTGGCTCAACTGGTAGAGTGCCACCCTTGAGTGAAAGAGCTAAAGCAGGAGTACAAAGCCCCAAGTTTAAGCCCCAGTATAGGCACAAAAAAAAAAAAAGAAGAAAAGACAGGTCCTGATATATGGGATTCTGTGCCTGGATTTCTACATTTCTATTATTTATGATTAACTGGATTGATTAATTATGACTGTGTTCTCCTAAAGAGAAAGAGAGAGAAAGGTGGTAAATTCTATGACATTGTGGGTCCTTACCATCTTAGGATTTCCTCCGTAGTGAGGCTCATTTTAAATCAAAGCCGGAATTAAAAAAATTTTTAGAGAATAATGAGCCCTTAGCACATTTATCATCCAAAGCATTTCTTTGCTATTTGAGGTACGTATGAGATAATTTACTTGGTGAAACTTCTTCAAGGTGGGATGCTCTGTTATGACAAAAGTTCCTGTGTGAAAAAACAGTATTTATTACTAATCTGTAGATAGGAGTGACACTCTAGGAGATAAGATGGCCATAAAATTGTCAGGCTTATTATATCTACAATAGAATAGAACCTCATTAATTCAGACTGCTCTGATGCAGACTTGGAATAATTACATATAATTCTTAGTCAGTTAATAGTTCAAATTCAGCAGGACAAATCATGACATTTTGATTTACAATTAATGATCTATTACCTAAACACTGCATTTATGTACTGAATATATTGCTGATACAAAGTAATTTATGATAAAAAACATTTTGAATATATAGTGCCATCTTACCATCTTAGAAATAAAGTTATTAAAATTCACCATTTTCATCTTATTTGTTAATTTCATTATGTAGTCTTTTGTAGTAGACATATATGTGTGTGTGTATATATATATATATATATATATATATATATATATATATATATATGTTGGAAGTACCTTCCACTCTGATTTCTTACTCAGGGGACTTGACTCTTCCCACTTAACCTGAATTAATGAGGCTTCATTTTATATTGTGAAAAACCACTCCTATGCATGTGAAATTTAAAGCTGGGCTGATGACAGGGATGGTGACAAAAAAAATGAACAAAGCAATGGAACATTTCACAAAAATGATGAAAGGAATTGAATCAAAGGCTTTCTGGTTATGAAGCTATCTAGGGGCCTGTCTAGTTTGGTCCACACCTGATGCTGGAATTCTATCTACAACTTCCCCTGAGAGGCTGTGCAGCCTCTGTGAGTTTTCTTCACATAGACGAGAGGACACTAAGATGCAGTTTAATGGCCATTTTCAGATTGATGAAATTTCCTCAAATGAGGAGGCTGCTGACCACAAGCTCTCCTTGTCTAAGGCATTCTTGAGAGGAACAAACAGGCCCCAGAGAGCACAAGAGACATTTGAGCAGGGCATTAGAAGAGTCTCCTGGCAAGGAGGAGACTACAAGACAAGAACAGGAAGCCAAAGTTGCTTTCATTATCTGTCTCCAGAACCCTTAGAAATGGCTGTAAATAAGGCAGTTGTAAATAATTTCTTTCAGGCTAGCTGCCTCCTTGCCTAGAGATGAGAGACAGAACCATGATGCTCCCCTCTCCTGGGATTCAGGATTGCTCCCAGGAGTCTGGATTCTGTGTCACATGATATTCTCTGCTTTGGAATGGTGTCTGGCCCAGAATTATGACATCCCTAATTCTTCTCTCCTCTCTGGTTTAATCTTGCTCCAAAGCTCAGAAACACCTACATTTAGAAAAGGGAACATTCATGAGGACTTTTTTTTCCCCCTCTGTGACTCTCCCCTTCTGTGCTAATTTCATCATGCCTAGGGATTCGTGTATGACACCATCTCCTTTCTGTAGCCAGATGCCCGTCTAAATGTAGGCAAGGACTTGCAGATTGAGGTAGAAGGTACTTATCTGAGGTTCTCAGAGCTTTTTGTCTTAATTTTTGCCCCAGTTTATTAGCAGGATGATGATAATAATTGTATCAGGTTAGACTGTTGAGTGTTTTTCTTTGTTGTTCTTTTTTGTTTGTTTGTTTTGATGCCAGTCCTGGAGCTTGAGCTCAGGGCCTGGGCACTCGCCTTAGTTTTTGAGCATAAGGCTAGCACTCTATTATTTGAACCACAGCCCTACTTTCAGTTCTTTTGGTGGTTAATTTGATGTAAGAGCATCATGGATTTTCCTTCTGGGACTGGCTTTGAACCACAGTCCTCAGATATTAGCCTCTTGAGTATCTCGGATTATAGGCCTAAACCATTGGTACCCAGCCTATTAAGTGTTCTTAATCCAGAGAAATTGCAGGTGAAGTAGCATGTCAAAACTTGGCTGTATCTTTTGGCTCTTTGGGCTGCTGAAGGAAACTTCAAGCCATCTGAAGGCCAGAGGGGAGATATGTTTTACATAAGCTGGATCTGGCTACTCAGCTAACTTACTGGTAGGTTCTCAGATTCTCTTGGATAATTCAGGAGGGACTCCATGTGACCTGGTAAGAGAAATACTATTGCTCATCTGGGTAGAGTCAGTGCTCTGGGCACTTTAGCCAGGAGGGGGCATTGGCTATGGTAGTTGATGCATAACTAACTACTATATCATCAGTATGCGCACGCGTGTGCATGCACACACACACACACACACACACACACACAGAGTCAGCATTTAACTGAAACCTATCTATTTATTCACCAAGTTTCTGCATTTGAAAAATTAATCTTATTCAAACATCAGCCTGTGAGGGGTGTAGGTGCTCAGCCCATGTTCTAGCTGAACCTGGAATCACATGAATGTGAATTAGTTAATTGTAATTTAGCATTATGCTGCTTTAATTTACTTTGATGATTTGCGTGTGACCTCTGGCTAGCACTCCATAGTGATTTTAATTATGAAGCAATGATGGTTGCTCTTGGGATGGATATAATGGCTGTTTAAACTCATATATTAGGACAAATATGAAGCATTAGAATACTTAAGGAATGACTAACAAATTAATGCATTAGAGATTGGGATACAGCTTCTTTTTGAACAATACTCTTCTTAAGTCAAATGCTGTGACTTGAAGGAAAGTCAATTTTAGGACAGTTTACAGCTCCTCCAGGACAGCCTAAGACCTACTGAATCTACAAACCTACACAGAAATCAGAGTATTGCCACTTATTCCTGGATTAATGGGGTTAAAGAAGGTAGAACCTTTTGGTTCGAAGCTGTACAAACAATTAACCTTGATCCCAGGGGTCTAACCAAGATCTCAATTTATGAATTTTCTCTCCTGCTCAGCAACAAATATGAATTGAGGTTTTAAGACTGTGGCTAGAACCTGTTTTAAAGATTTTTATAGAAAATATCTGGACTGAAAGAGGAAATCTATTCCAAATACCTCAGTTTTCTTTATGGGAAATGTTGCCAAAGTTCTGTTTCTATCCACAGGTACTTTCTAGACTAAACTGTGACTATGACACAGGACTCCAGGCATCCTTGGCCTCCTGTATCTTCAGTCTTGGGCCACCTTTGTTTGGCAGTCTGCCTACTTCTAGTCAAAGCCTAGTACAAAGGACCAGTATATTATCAGTCATCTGCACATTGGTCTATGTTTAAGTCAGAGGAGGGTTTTATTTGCAGCAGGATCAAATGGAACAAAATGGTTTGTCTCTGTAAGAAGATTCCTGCCTCAGTGTGGGGGAAGTAGAGGGGGGCTTTTCTGTCATTCCTATGGGACTGCCTTCTTTGCCTGGAACACAGGTGATTTGGCTCATCTTGTATACAGAGAAGCCATGTGGTTCCACTTTTCTTTCTCTTCTCACTAAAGCTCAGAAGCAAATGAACAAAATTGGCCCATTTTACTTGAGGGTTGGACATGGGACTGGAGCCAGATACTTCCTAGGAGCAGGAAAGGTGTGGCTTGAGCCCACAGGATACTGGATGTTTCCCTATACCAAGAGTCCTTACCCCAGGGAGTGTGGGCCTCTGCTACCTTCTCTTCTTCCTCTCTGCTTCCTGAGATGCATATTAGATGATCAAAGTTGCCTGGGAGGGTTTTCAAGGGGCAGGACACAGTAATCAAGGAGTGTTGCCCCTCACTCCCTTCCCCCTCACAGAGAGGTGTGGGGGTGACTCATATATCCCTCAGGTGTGTTAACAGTAGAGCTACACTTGAGAGTGCCAAAACAAGACTAATGATCTGAACAGTGCAGCACCAGTATTAAACTATTACACACGCACACATGCACATACACATGAACATACACATAGGCTGAAGTGAAGCAGAACTGTCATCTAGATGATGGTCTGGTAGCCCCTATAGTAAGTTAATGGTTTTAGTTGACAGTAGCACCAATATGGGCAGTGTGATCTGTTAGGCACAGAATAATTCCATGGAAACAAAAGTACAAATGACAATTCAGGGCTCCCTGAACATTACTATATCTGCTGAAGAGAGGTGCCTAGCTTTCAGAGATGGTATAGCTAAAAAAAAATAAAATTAAAACAACCACCATGAAGAGTCTTGATTGTGAAGCCCAGAAATTAAATTTGCTTATGTTTTATAAAGAAGCCTTTCCCACTCTTTCCTAGAGCATTTCTAGCCCTTACCTTTAAATTAGAGCAAATCGATTCCTCAAACCACTAATCAGATAGCTTAAGTTGAGCAAAGATTGATCATTTCAAGTTAAAAATAGCACACTGATGCTGGAGGTAACTCACATTAATGTCCACAAAGATTCATTGGGTTATAAGGGAACAGTGTCAGATATAATTTCTCTCTCTTCTGTGTTACTAGTTAACTTTATTTGATTGTTAATTTTGTACT